GGGACGGCGGCGGCGGCCCCGAGCCGCGGGCAGCTCCCGAAGGGGCCCGTGGCGGCTGCGCGGTGCGGCTTAGCTTGCACCACAACCTGCTCGCTGTCGTGTCTGTGTGGCAGCGGCGCAGGAGAGAGGCCTGCCGCCTGCTCGGGCTGGCCTTGGTGCCTCTTAGGTCATCGCGAGCTTATCCTTAAGCTTATCGCAAAGGCTTTTAATGTTTTTTCACGTTTACTGCAACTCTGCACAGTCATGTGTTCCTTCATCAAAAATCAAAACGTAGACGCTTTGAGGATTAAAGAATAAGATGTTTTCTTTTATTCTCTTTCCCTTTTTTTTTTTTTTTTTTTTTTTTTTTTTTTTTGTTTTTTTAGGGTCTTCCACTCTTTGTCCTAATCTTGCCCAGCTAAAATTGCCGCTTGTGGCTCTGCTAGGGAAAACCAGCAGTAAGATGCAGTTCCGGGTCTCGGTAGTCCCCCTTTCCTGTGACCTTATCCTGGGAGCTTCTCTAAGCTGGGATGGTAACCCCGTTGGGGAAGTAGGGCCAGGTTTGTGGGGACAGGCAGCAGCGTGTGGGCCGTGTCCGTCACCGGTGCGTGCTGCAGACCAAACGCCGAGGAATGAAAGCAGTGTGGTCTGTAGCAGCCCTCCGATGGGCCCAGGGCCCACCAGCCAAGTCTTCAAAACTGAACTGTGCTCTCCAATACATTTAATTTTGAGACCAAACACAGCCTGTTTTGCAGTGAAGATTGTGTAATGCAATGGCTGCAAAGGCAGAGGGTGACTGGGTGACATGGCTCAGCTGGTCACTTCTCATCCAGTGTTCTGAGCGTGTTAACTTAGATACATATATATAAGCACTTTTATGCATTTATAATAACTTACATATATACTAAGTGTCACTCATTTAACAGGGATTGGAAGTTCCTTTTTTTTTTTTTTATTTAATTTTAAATACAGAGAAAAAGGTGTTAATTTAAATGAAAAGATTCATAACTAGGAAGATGTTTTCCTTCTAGACAGAAAGGTAGAATGAGATTGTGAAACTTGTTTGGAAAGTGACTGAGGCCAAGGAGTCCTGGTTAGTCTTGCCTGTCCTCTGTAAAATCCAGTTGAATGTAAACAGCTTTCCAGGGAGACATATAAACTTAACAGACTGAAGTCATCTCAGCTGCAGAATTGTCATTGGGACTCCCAGTACTTACTGCTTTTAAACAAAAGAGGCCTGTAAAATATCTGCCTGTTCTGTCATGATGTGTGCATTAAACTTGGCATCCTGACTCAGAGTTTCAGAAGTCACGAACTTGAGACCTGTTTGAAGCTGGAGAGGAGGGAGGGGAAGAAATGGAGGAGGAGGAGGAGGCAAGATTAGCATGAACCTGCCTCCTGCCAAGCTCCCTCCCTCCCTGCCGTCCCGGGTAAGGAGGAAAGCTGCTCTTCCCAACTGTGCCGTGACGCCCCTTTGCTCTGAGCACGAATACTTGGGCCAAAGGCTGTTTATTTGGACTGTGGTGATTTGATGATTTAGTCATAAGTGTAGCAACACTGCTGTAGTTGAACTGGCTTCTGTTTTCCTGAAGCTTGCAGGCAGTCTTGCTGGTGTGAATAACCTGGTCTGGGATTGTGGTTATGAAAAACTTTATCTGTGGTTTTCAGTGCTAGCTAGATTGTTGTGGTGAATATTTATTTCTACTAAAAATTCATTTTTGTTAGAAGGTATTTTTTTAAGAATTTTTATTTTTATTATAAAGCTCTTTGCAGCACCTTTGTGCATCTGCTGCAGTAGTTGCTGGAGTAAGAGCTGGGCCACCAAGCACCGTTCGGAGTTCAGGAATCTGCAGAGTGGGGCTCACAGTGAGATTTATAGTGAAAAGCCCAGAAGCAAATCTGGAAGCAAGACCAACTGTAAAGGAGCAGGATTGGCCAATCTGTGACTAATGGCCATAGTCCTTACTGTGGTCACTGCAAAGCTGACTCGTTGAGGAGACTTATTTGAAAGCAAACAAATCAAAACAAACAAAAAGCCACCCAGTATGGTGTCCAGGGTTACGGTAGTGCTGCTTTGGATAAAATACTTAGGGATTTTAGGATGTGTCTCCTTCACTGCTCATTATCTGATGTCTTTGGTTAGTTACCAGGCAGGACTTGTGCTTACTTGTAGTTCCTGGTGCATCCTCAGTGTCTCTGGTTACTGGTGGGACTTGTCCCTGGGGCCATTGCTCACATCTGCTCTACTGGGGGCCTTGTGTGGCTGGCAGAGCAGGGATGCAGCAAGGCCAGGTGCCACAGAGGGCAGAACGTTGCAGGTGCTGGAGCAGTTTGGTAGAGCTGGTGTCTTAGGACTTTGAGCAAATTGCCTGTTGTTATTAACTCGTCAGAAAACATTCCTTTTGAGACAAGATTAAGATAAATAGACGTTGGAAACTGGATCCATCCACTGGTTTCCACTAGAAGTAGCTACCACTTAAAAGGAAAATAGGAAGTATTTCTAACCTAGAGAGGTGACTGTCCAAGCCCTTTTGATGCTGATAGCGAAGGTGTGCAGGAGGCTGCAGTGTGGTAAGATAGACAGGTGGTAGAAGGCTCCTGTTCTTGAGGAACCTTTGGGAGTATTTTCTTGCCTCCTTCATTTCCTGGTAAACTCTTAAGTGTAGAAGGTAGCTGCTGAAGCATTTGTGTTTTAAAGCATGACATTTGAAAGTCAAGATCTGTTATTTTTATGAATTGGTGACTATTGAGACTCTGTACAGCATTGTATGGAAGATCTTGGTGGTTTCTCTTGTCTGACTAGAGACCATCACAGGTGAACTGTTTTGGTTCAGCAAAAGGGCAGTATTTGCCTTTTGCCTCTTTGTCCTCTGCACAAATGTAGTGCTCAGAAAGACTTAATAGAAAGAGGACCTCAGTGGTAAAAGGGCTGGCCCCAGTATGGTTCCTGCACCAGAGACAGTCGTTGTTTGTTGGTATATTGCTGTAAACACAGTATTAAAATATGTTAGAGATCTTAACTAGGTAACATAATGTGACTAACCATGACCATGGCTGTGGAGGGGGAGCCATCCAAGGTGCAAGGTTGAGCTGTTTCTCTGTGACTAATTTGGGTTTGGTGAAAGCTCTAATGTGACAGCCTGCGATTTATGCTTTGACATCTTTTGTTCCTGTGAACTCCTGGGATAATTTACCTTTCTTTGTTTCACTGCAAATTGCATTTGAAGCTCTCAGATTTCATTCACACACTGTTTGTATTCCATCTAGGCTTGAGCAGAAAACACATTACTGGTTTCAGTTCAAGGAACATCATTATTGAAACTAACTTAATTTTATAAAAAATACTTCATACCCCTTGTTTTAAATGTTATAGTCTTTAGTCACTTTATGTGCAAATAATTTTGAACATGCACAACTTGTAGCTTGGTGGTAATTTTTATCAAGGACTTGACATGGCTTTGCTGTTGATTTCAGGTATATGTCACAAGGAAAACATGCAGAAGCAAGAGAGCTAATGTATTCAGGGGCTTTGCTGTTCTTCAGTCATAACCAGGTAAGTCACTGTTCCTCTGGCGGGAGGGTTGAGATGGTTGGTCAAAGTATTTAAGGGGCAAATGATAAGTTCTCAGTGGTGTGTATTTGGGGGAATTGTTCTATAACTTTTTATCTACCTGCTGAGTCCTTCCCCACAAAGTATTTTGCTGATTGGAATATAATGCAGAAATGTTTGTATTGTCCAAACAATAATCTTAGTCACATTTGGTTTTGCTTTCCTGGAGACTTCTATTTTGTTACCACCAATTTACGATTACTTTTTGTAAGGGAGGATTGAAATTTGGTAACGTCCTGCCTTATATGTTCTGTTGATAAATTATAGTGTACTGCTGACAAACTTCTGCTTGAGGAACAAAACGTTATTTAATGATGTCTTCATCACTACCAGTATATGTCTGTTTTGTAGCAAAATAGTGCTGCTGATCTGTCCATGCTGGTTTTGGATTCTTTGGAGAAATCAGATGCAAAAGTAACAGATGACCTTTTAGGTAAGGTGAACTTTGCACTTGCTTTGGTGGTATTTAAGATGCATTTTTCTTTCAAAATACTTACATTGTTGTCAACAGTAGAGACCTGATTTTGTGCGTGTGTGCGCTGTGGTCTCCCAAATGGCTACCACCAAGTAAAGAACTGGTGGCAAAATTGTTGGTTAATAATGGATTCCCGGTAGCCAGCAGTATTGTGAGCACAGGGGCATGATTAGAACAAACATTGCTGTCTTGTGGCATTGTCCTTTCCTCGGTGCAGGAGTGAATGTCCGATCCACACAGGCAGTGTGGGGGGATGGCAGCTCCCCATCCCAGCAGTGCGATGGTGTCAATCAGCCATCCACAAAGATCTGCCTGTCACACTGTCAGGCTCAGTAAACAGCTCGGGAAAGCCTGTTCTTCAGAGGTGCCAGGCCAGCCTCCTGCTGCAGCGTGCGTGGTTAGCAGTGCTCTTAGCAGCCCCTGTACTTTTTACTTGGATGGGCTCTAATATTCTTCATCCCATCTAGTGAGTTCTGATGCTCCTTTCCTGAGCTTCTATCCCACCCAGCTTCCTTATGAATGCCAAGCACTCCCGTAGCCTCAAATCTTTCCTCCTGCTTCAGACTGTGGGATGTTCTGGCCATACTATGAGAAGGGAGCTGTGGCCACACCGACTGCAGGGCCTGGCTTTTGGCTGTCGAGGACTGCCAGCTGATGGCTGCGCGATTGACTTGACATTTGAGAAGTGGCTCATGTGCAAAGACACTGCTTTTTTAAGACATCTTTTGCAGGCTAATAAGGGAGCTTAAATATACTGTGCTTAAATGTCTTAAAAGATGCATTAGAACTGTGTTTCTGTTAATGGTAAATATTTGTGAATATTGTTGCTTTCAGAAAACTTGGCTAAATTATTTAGTTTAATGGATCCAAATTCTCCTGAAAGAGTGGCTTTCGTATCCAGAGCGCTGAAATGGTCCAGTGGAGGATCAGGAAAACTTGGTCATCCAAAACTACACCAGTTACTAGCAATTACCTTGTGGAAAGGTAAGAACAGTTAATGGATTTTTCTTTTTAATATAACATTGAAAGTAGATTATTTTAAGATTGTCACTTTGGAAATAATCATTTCAGAATAAACACTGATGCGATTGATTAATTTGGAGTTTGAAACTGAGATTTGACTCACATAAGAAACAATTTTGTCTCAAATTAAGTTCGAACAAACCATTTGCATTTTTCCCCTACATAATTGCCGTTCTATTCAGCATATAGAAGTAATTTAAATTTTGATAGCAAGAGTGGGCTAAGCCAAAAATAGGAGATACCTTCTTCTCTGCTCTTAAAGATGCTGAAGGGGCTGGTTGCTTTCTTGGTGCACAAGTTTAAATATGGAGCTTTTTTGTTCCTCTCTGGTGATAGCACATTAAGTGCCGGGATGTTGATGAAAAGAATGATCCAACTGCTGCAAGGTGGCTGTTTGTCCCAGTGGTAGCCTTGTTCTTTGGTGACATTGAGTGAAATGGTGTTTTAATAGCAGTGATTCAAATATATTTAGAATAATGTATTTTATTATCTACCTTGGTAAGCTGTCTGTAACTTAAAAATTAAAAGGATTCTGTGTCTCTGATAGTCATGTTCTTTGTGTATAGCTCTGACTTTTTTTAGCTATAACATATAAGCCTAGAAAATGTGCTTTTTAAGTCTGTTGAACTGATTTCTTAAAAGCTGTTTTCTTTTTCCTTTTATAGAGCAAAACTATAGTGAATCTCGGTATCACTTCTTGCACTCCACAGATGGCGAAGGGTGTGCAAATATGCTAGTAGAATACTCCTCGGCCCGGGGCTACCGCAGCGAGGTGGACATGTTTGTGGCACAGGCAGTCCTACAGTAGGTGTTCACGTTTTGTTGGGCTGTCTTGCTGAAATGTCACTGTGCTTGAGACCAGCCTAATTTAACCAGGGTAACTGTAGGTTAACTGCCCATCCTTGCCAAAAAAATAGTTCAATTGGCCTAAGTTTCCAGAACGACTTTTGGGTGGTAACAGGAGCAGATTATCTCATAACTGGTGTGCTGAATTGCCCAGATTCTTTTTTTTTTTTTTTTTTTTTTTTAAGTATTAAGCTTTAAATGTGAATTAATGAATCATGTTAACTGCATAAAGAGCAAATGTAACCTATGTCAGCCTAAAAACATGATTGTTATGTTTTTATTAACACCAGCCTGCACCTGATGAAGATTTGCCTCTGTGTCCTGACAAAGGCTGGGGCTAAGTGGGCTTTATATTTGCATTCAGCCTAGTACTTACTGCCAGCCCCACGGTCTTGAGAGCCGCTCGCTCACGCTGTTTCAGGGGCAGCAGTGGGAGGTGCTCCATTGACCAGACTGGCTGGTGGCTTTCGGTGGCTTTAAGTATTTATTTTGCAGGAGGTGGGAATGCAAGTTACTATGTGCATTTGCAGAGCCCCTGTATAATTAAGGTTAACAAAGCCAATTTTACTGTATTTAGTGATTGATGGCTTATTCGGTGAAGGAAAGCAGCTTATGGAGGAGGCTGAGGAGGAGGTGGAGACAGGACTGTGCAGCAGGGAATGGGAGAAGTGGGAGAGTAAGTGTTGGAGAGGGAAGAGGCGAGAGCAGGCCTGTCTGTCTTGGCAGCAGCTGTCACTTCAGCTCGGTTGGATCCAGGCTGCAGTGATTCCAGAGAGGTGGGAAATCATTTATAGGGACCAGAATATGCAGCACTGACGGAGCCCGTAGCGGGGCTTTGGTTTGAGAGGGGGCAGTTCTGGTGAGAGCTTGTGGGTATGGGATTATTTTCTCTGGTATTTATCCAGAAATGCTCCTACATCCTTTACTGGCCTGTATCTCTAACACAAGGCTAAATCCTCCCACGTGGCAGTTTGTGATCTAAGGAAAAGCTCCGTAATTCCTTACTCGGCAGTAAGGTAAAAGAGCCCCTTTTCCCCACACAGTGTTTGGCTTTGGAGGCCACCGTATGCCCAGAACTGAGGCTGCTTGTGGCAGGCTTCCCAGTGCTCGCTGGCTGCATTTGTGTGGCCTGTGGCCTCGCAAAGATTACCCGGATAATTCACTGGATCCCAACAAAGAGTGGACCAGTGTGGGAAATTCATCTGTTTAACTGCTGACAAATCACTCAGGAAGCCAAATACATGGGGCTTTTTTTTTGAGAGACTTTTAGGTTTGTATAGCAAAGTCAGTAATAGTCCTGGGGCTGTGTTATTTTCAGATGGTAAGAAAGGAATGGTAGGGTCACTGGCGGAAATGCAGTGAGTTTGGGAGTGGATGAGGCCAGATGAGATTTATTTTGACTGGGTTTTTACCTCAGCATGGTAAACTCTGGACCAGTGCAGGTCATGTCTCAGGTAATTTGAATCAAGTGGTAGCCAGTGTTTGCACACTTTTGTGCAACTGTTTAACTGATACCCTTCCTATATACAATTTGTTTAAGTTTACCTCATTCTACTAATATTTGGTATCAATCCCCCAGTGAAATTGCCTATAGCACAAGATACTTAAATAGGGCTTTTCCTATCCTCAGCTGATTCCAGACCAAAGATGTCCATCTCTGCCAGTTGAGGTTTCTGCTCTTAGCTTGAGCCTGAGAAGGCTTCTATGCACAAATGAAGTAGAGACTGTGGAGCATTTGGTTTCCCTTTTTCTTTTTGTATGTAAAATTTCTTCTCTGCATTTTATTTTTGTCATTCTCTGTTCCGCTTCCCTTTACAGATTTCTCTGCTTAAAAAATAAGACCAGCGCATCGGTCGTTTTTACGACATACACACAGAAACATCCGTCGATAGAAAAGGGTCCACCCTTTGTTCAACCACTACTAAACTTCATCTGGTTTCTGTTGTTGGCTGTTGATGGGTACAGTTTGATCTTTGTTACGTTCTGCTTCAGGACCTTTTTATCTGTTACTGAGATTGCGTTGTTTGTTGTTTCCTTTCTAGGGGAAAACTAACAGTATTTACAGTATTGTGTGAACAGTATCAACCTTCACTGAAAAGAGATCCCATGTATAATGAGGTGAGTTACTAATGGTTGTGAACAGAGCATAACCTACAGAGTTAGTTCAACAAAAGCTGATTGTCTCCTGTTTTGTGACTTGGCAAATTCGGCAGGTCACAGGCTACAGAGGCTGGTTGCCACAGCCACCAAAACGTAGTGAATTTGGGGTTTCTTTGAAGCAGCTAAATGCTAATCCATACTTGATAGATGGGTCCCTTGGGAGCAGGATAGCAATTCAGCTTATGCAGTGTTGTAGTTTTCCATGGCCCACTTCAAAAGGAAGCTTGAATCCAGCTTTTGGACAGCGGTCAGGGCTGCAGCTTGTGGCACTTGGTCGCTCTTCAGAGGCTTTCCACTGGCTGAGCTGCTTGACACCCTTCTCCCTTTGTATCGTTTCAGTACCTAGATAGAATAGGACAGCTTTTCTTCGGAGTTCCGCCCAAGCAGACATCGTCCTATGGAGGGTTACTAGGTAAGTTGTTAAGGTACCACCGGACTTTCACAGTTGTGGCTTGTTCTGATGTACTGTTGTACAGGACAGCCTTTTCCACAGCCTGTGGAAACAGTCTCTGCTGTCAAACACGGGATGGATGGACTGCGTATGAGATTGCAGGGAGGTAGCTGGTAGACTTTTCCTTTTTGAAAAAGGAAAAAACATGTAAAATATTCTTAATTTTAACATTATGGTTTAAGTTAAAACTGTAGAGCAAAACCTTACTGGAGTTAACACTTAATTGGCTTTGACTTCAGTGGCTGCTTTTCCTAATGTAAAATCTGGAACTTTTGTAGCAGTTGAACTGGAATTAATATAAAATGTATGCTCTCAAATTTGAAGTTTTGAAATTAATACTGCCTTTCTACAAGAAAGGGAAAGGAATAGAGAAATGTAGGCCTTATTTCTTGTCTTTGAATAAAATGAGATGAGAAGAGATTGAACTGGATTACTTTTGTAAAATCCACTTTCTTCCTTGAGAACTAAGCTCTTGGGTAATCTGCCTTGAAGCTTTACCTGCAGATGCCCTCTCTCTGATACTCCAAGTTTGATGACAAAACTATGAGCATCTAGTTGCATCTGCAAATAATATTTTAGAAATTCAGGCATCTTTAAATTGAGCAAAAGAGGTGATGCATAAATGTGCATCACACTACGAAGAATTTACCTGAGGCGACAGTGCTACAGTTTGTTATCATTGGAAGTGTCTCCTTTTGTTATTTTTCCCCTTCTGGACACAACTTTATACATAAATATGGGTGTGTTTTTCCAGTGTACTCTTGGAAAACAAACAGTATCAAAGCAGAACTTCCCATATCAATAAATTCCTAGTGGAAGTGGATGTGCGATTCACTCCAGTATAAGTTTTTTGATTATTTCTTATTGAAATGTGCATCTTAGGCAAGTAGGAAAGTAGCTAAAAATTATGAGATGTGGATGTAAACCTGACAAATCTGACCATCTTATATTTAATGTAGGAAATCTCTTAAACAGTCTGATGGGAACTGGAGAAGATGATGACGCAGAGGATGGTCAGGAAGATAGCAGCCCTATCGAACTTGACTGAATCTTTTTGTCCTCGGGTGCCGTGTAAATCTGGTGATTCGATGACTCCAAAGACAGTTTGGGAATTTGAATCCTGCAGTTGTTTCTTGGCGCCTAAAAAGGGCTCCTCTGGTCTTTTAGAAATGGTTGCTGAAATGTTTATAATGTTCAGTCTATATTATTTATGTAAAAAAAAAAAATAAAAAAAAAAGAAAGAAGGAAACCAACAAAAAGTAGCCCGAAGAATCGGAGCAGTTGTTAGCAGGTTTCCGATAGGGCGGCTGGTGACTTTGATTAAAGTGTAGTCTCTGCGGTTCCTCCTGCAGTCCCTTTCGCACAGTAATTGAGCCAAGCCTAAGGCCGGTCTCGCGCGTCGCGGCCTGCCCAGTACCCTCTTTATTTGTAATAAAAAATATTAATTTGTAATAAAAAAAGCCTCCCTGACCAACCCCTGCCGCCCCCACGGAGCAGCTCGAGAGGCAGGGGCATTAATTGAGTAACTTACTAGAAGGCTGGTGCCAAAAGTAGTGTGAAATGAGCCAAAGGGAGGAGCTGGAGCAGGAAGGCGCCTCCCGCCTCGCAGCCTGGTCCAGAGCCGGCCCTGCCTGAGCCCACCCTGTGGAGCTGCTGGTTTTGGACAAGCACAAGGTGGAACTGCTGGGAGGGAGAGCCCAGCCGTGGCCCGTGGGTGATTGGCTTCCAGGTGGATCGCTCTGGCCTGGGTATAGCAAGGTGGCATCTCAAATCCCTCCTCTGGCTCATGGCTCTACCCCTTGGAACAGCTGCTTTTTCAGTGTAAGTTCATAAGCAGCCGTCAAGGCATTTTTATAAGCGAATGAAATGATTTGCCACAAGCAACGTATGTGTTTAAACCACAGCTCTATGTAAAGAAAAGGGATACTGCAGAACTTCTTGTTCTTTACGATATATTTATTTTTCTTGGGTGATTGATTCATTTAACACTTCCTGTAAAAAGAATAAATCAATAAATAATGGAGTAACTTCAACCCCGTGGTAGGCATAGCAATTCTGCATCTTCTCCTCTTTAATGCAGCACAGCGGATGTCAGTGGTACAGGGAGCAGATAAAAATGGGGAAACGCTTTATTTTTTCATGGTGAAAAATGAAAAGGCTTAGATTAATAAACAGCAATCATGCACAGGGGAGGGAGGGAATAATGCAAACATGTTGACTGTATGAACAAGAAAAGGCATCGAAAGGAAGACTTTGTGTTAATTGTGAAGTCTCAAATAAACACTTTATACCAGGATGACCAACAGTGCTGCTTTCTGAGTTTTCTGAGCAGAGATCTTGTGTCCCAGGCTGGTTTTCCTACTGTGCTGGATGGCAGATGAGCTGCAGCTCAATGCTGCCCTTGGGCACCAAAGGGGCATTTTGAGCAGGTAGTAAGAGCTGTGGTGGATGACGAGGTCCAGGGTGCTGCTCCCGTTGTGCCGTGTATGAACCGGGCAGTGTGGTTCTGGGCCAAATTAGATGCCAGCTTATGACTGCCTTGCTGTCCAGGGTGCAAAGTGCAGGTGACACGAAGCGAGCAGCACAAGCAGCCGTGGCCTGTGTCACTGCGAGCGCTGCGTTTGGGCCAGGCTGCCGCACAGGGACCCTCCGTGAGCCCCTGCCACCCCCCCGAACCCCATTAATGCCCCCTCCCCCCCCCCCGACTCACTATTACACTGCCACAGCTTTAATAATTTATTTGATCAAATGACATTTAGTACCACGGTTTCCTTACCAGTGACATAACGAACGTGTACAGCTGATACGATGGCTTTCATTTACAAACACCAACTTAAGAAATGCAGTGGACAGTTCCAGGGGTTCTTCTGTCGTTACCTACCAGGCCCAGTAATTTTCTTTTTCCATGTAAAAATTCAGCAAGTTCAGTACAGTCCTTGGGCTGACAGCCCAAGAACTTCCTTTGACTGCAGAATTACAGCGGTCAAAACATTGTTGAAATGTCACTTTAAGCAGCTTTTTTTTATTATTATTATTTTCTTGCAAAGTAATTAACAAAAAAAAAAGAGAGAATTATTTAAAAGGTGCAACAACTGTTTTTCTGTAGAAGCAACATAGCATCGGCCAGAGGGCAGGAGGGGCTGAAGGAGCGGTGACGCCGGCGGGCGGGAGGCGGCTTTAGGGGTACAAGCCACCTCCATCGCGGCAGCCGGGCCGGCCGTCGCTTCCGCCCCGGCCAGGGCCGCTTTTCAACGGGGTGACATGGGAAACGGCCGAAACCCCGGGCTGCAAAACAGCCTGCGGGGCTGCCGGCCCTCGCGTTGCAGGGGGACCACGGCGGGGACCACAGCCCGTCACGGGCGGTAAGGGGGCAGCAGCAGCGACATCGTCACCGTCATGGGCAGCACTCGGCCCTCAGGCCGTGTCCCCCCCATGGCGACGCCGGCAGTCGCGCTGTTCCCGTCTGGTCTCACTGCAGCGGCCTCCTGGCTGCCCCCTTGGGCCTTCGCTCTCCTCGTGCTCCTCCAGGCAGAGCAAGCTTCTCTTAGGCCCTTCCTGGGGTCCCGCGCTGGGGCCGGCAGCAGAGGCCACCACCAAGGTGGGGAACAACCAGCTCCACGCGGACGTGAAAGGGCAGAAGCAGCTGCCCGAGGCCCTGCAGGTCGCTCCTGTTCCTGCCGGCCGCAGAGGCCGCGCCAGCGCTGCAGCAAGGCCCTGTTCCTGCAGCAAGGCCCCGTTCCCGCCGCCTGCCCCGCTCCGGCAGGTTCCTGTCCGTGCCCAGGGCTGCCTCTTCCTGGGCACAGGGGGTGCCCTGCTCAGCAGCAGGGCCGTCTGCTCCGCTTGAACATGGATGAGGCGGCCGAGTGAGGCCCGGAGCAGCCTCCTCGGAGCTGATATCGAGGCCAACAACACAAGGGTCTGTTGCTTTTAAATCTCGCTTGAAACTAGCCTATATAGAACAGTACCATCACTGACGAGGTATGACATTCACCCACATTAATTTATTTAAAATTTATCTCTAAGATAGCTGGGGGGGGGGGGAGGTGTTTAGCAACATGTACACATCATGAGACCATGTGAGCCGAACTAGGGGCTTTGCCTGAGCGTCCCGGGAGGTGCCGCGTTCCTGCCCCGCGCGCTGCGGCCACACGGCTCCTGCAGCAGCCGCGACACCCCGCGGGACCGGCGGGCTCAGCCCCGCTGCGCCCCGAGGCACGGGGCAGCGGGAGCTCCGCTCCGGAGCCCCGGCCTCCCGCAGGACGGGCCTCTGCTGCCAGCACCAGCTCCGCTCGTGCATTCCGCAAAGGCAGCAGGACGGGGCCCTTTGCCACCAACTTGCCCCAGACAGAAGCAGTGAGCACTCCAGCAGCTCCAGGCCGGGTTGGCGCCGCCTCTGCTCCCGGCCACGAGCCCTGCTGGCTCAGAGCTGCTGCCAAAGCCTGACCCAGATCACACCCATCCCTGACCCAAAATAACAAGACTGCAGAGAAGAAAAAACAGGTTACCAAACCCTCCGCACCATCCAACGGATCAGCTGCTGAAACGCCTTGGGAAGGAGGTCTGGGTGACACAGAAGGAAAGGGCGCGGTCTCCTTCCCTCCTCCACAAGTCACCCATTTCCAACCCGTCTGGTTTCGCAGCAGCCGAGGAGGAGGCCGTGGGCACTGGCAGCGACGTGGTGGCCCTGGAGGCTGGGGCGCTGCTGCGGGACACGTGGGCCAGTCCGGGGCCATGGCCCCAAGCCGGGGATGACCTGGTGTGGAGGGACCCTCCAACCGGCTGCGCGTGGGACGAGGCCGCCGGGGAGCCCGGGCACCGCCGGGGACAGCGCCCTGGCAAGGGGGACACCAGCATCGTCCCTGGCCTCGCGCCGTTGTCCTTGGCTTCCAACACGATCAAGTCAATGATGAGGGGAAAGGGGAGTATTACTGTTGTTATTTTTTTTTTTTTAGCATTTCAAATAAAACCACGTTGTGTTGTAAACAGAAGCTCATTCCTCCGGCCTGCCCAGTCCCATCTAAGGTTTATGCTTGAAGTGGGCTTCCACTGCAACACAGACCACAAGGAGAGCAGTGTTAAACCAAGGGCCACGGCAACGCAGCTGGCCTCGACCACCCCCATGCCAGCACTGCGGACACCACCCCATGCACAGGAAGCCTTCACGTTAAGGGAGATACCAACCTCCTCTTCCAAATATGAACCCATCTGTTCATATTTGGGATGGGCTTGGCCTCACCCCAAGGCAGGGAAAGAGCTTCCCCACTGAAACTGAACGGAAGGGAGAAGCAGGAGTTGCTCCACCCCGATCCCCCTTCCCATCCCTCCTGTTCTCTGATGGAAGCGAACGGGACGCGCCTGCATTCCAGGCCCACCTGCGTATTCCTGCGGCAGCATCGGCCGGCTGATCACCTTCTGAAAGGTCGTAATCCACTCCAGCTGGTCGTCCTCCGTCTCGCAGGCGAAGAGGAACTTCCTGTCGGGGGTGACGATGGTTATGCCGTGCTGCCAGTGATTGCCCTGCGTGGCCGGCGGCAGCCCCTCCAGGACCTTGTAGCTGTTCTCCTTGCTCCCGATGAAGACCTCCCCCCTGGCGAAGGCGTCCTGGGCAGAGCAGAGCGGGGCTGGGGGCGGCCCTGCGAGCGGGCGCTGCCGCGCGCCCCGGCCCGCGCCGCTCTCTTACCAGGGGGTCCTTGAAGTACATGAGGCGCCGGTCGTCCATGGTGAACCAGCGCTTCTTGAAGCCCTCCGTCTGCTGCGGACCAACAAGGCAGGCGTTACAGGGCACCGCGGCAAAGCAGCTCGCTGCTCTCCCGGCACAGCAGGTCTGGGGTGCTGGGGGTGCTTCAGGCCCATGTGGAGACCCCGATGGGCTGGGAGGGGGTCACAAACGGTGATTTGGGGTCTCGCTGAGGGGCTGGGATGGCCGGGCGAACCTGTGGGTGCTGCCAGTGCCCTGGGGAACGGGCAGGGTTGGCTGCAGGACGTGTTGGGGTCTCTCTGTGCTCACTTGGATGCCCTCAGCACTGGCTTGTGCCTCTTCCCCACTCACTGCTGCTTCACAGCTCAGCCTCAGCAACATTCCCCATTCCAGAGCTCTACATACAGAGTTTGCCTTATTTCCATGTGTGCCAAGGATATCGAGAGAAAAGCAATAGCCCTTGCACACGTGAAGGTGCAAAAACACCATGGCGAGTAATTGCAAACCCTTTTATCTGGCCAGGGGCGCCGCGCTCTGCAGGGCCCGCACAAGCGCCTCACTCGCGTCCTACCTTTGGCCCCGTCTTCTCCATGTACCCTTCCTTCAGGTAGTTTCTGGAAAGCTTTGGCACCAGCTGGACAAGCGAGCAGGGAGGAAGAGCACACAGTTAGATGGCGGGAGCTGCAGGCGGCAGCGGGACGGTCCCCGCAGCCCTCGCTCAACGCTCTCCTCAGCAGCAGCGGGGCAGCAAAACCAAGAGCCCTGCGGGCTGATCGGTTGGAGGCTCCTGGGCTCTGTCGCCCCCATCTAATAACCAAAGGGATGGGGAAGATAAAAACACCAACAGTTCATCTCCTATGGGCCTTGTTTTGAGCCGGAGCACCCGGGACGCGCACGTGGCAGTGCCCACGTCGCCGGCCGGAGCCGCCCGCGGGCTCCACGTCCCAACGGTTCCTCGGCCGAGGCCAAGGAGCGGAGCCCTCGCCAGGCCCTCGAGCTTGTGAAATGGGGGCTAAAAACGAGCGTGTGTCGGGTGGGAAGGAAACGATGCAGGAAAACTCACATCGACATCGCTGGCTCCCGGGAACGCCACTTGCAGGTAATGAAACCGCGCCGCGCGGATGGCGTTGAACCAATCCACGATCTCCTAGGAAGCAGGAAGGAAAAGCAGAGTGAGGAGCGCGGAGCCGGCGCCCGGCAGGACGGGATCCCATGGTGTCTCATCCTGACGTGGGGAGCCGCCCGCAGGAGCCTCCGGCCACACAGCACAGGCTCTGGGAAGGGGAAGTGACCGGGAAGAGCGTCCGGACGCTCCGCATCCTGCTCCGCTCGACCCGCACATGGTTCAGAAAACACTGACCTGTGTGTCAGAGGCTGGACCAGCACTTGCTTCTCTACCTCAGCAGAGTCCAGAGAGCAGCAGAGAGGGGAACAGCAGGAGGAACCGGGCTCTAAAATTGATGCCATTACTCAAGGGAAGGGGCACTTTCCAACTTTCCCTCCACAAACCTGTACTCATGGACATATCCCTGGAAGGGCTGCTGAAAGTGTCCTGAATGTCCTGTGCATGTAACTATGAGCAATGCTGCAGATGCAGTGAGGAGATGGCAGCTGATGCATTAAAACAGCACAGAACTGCTCAGTGGTTTTAGGCTGGTAACTCCTTAGCAGATTCCTTTCGCTGCTCAATGTCTCAGAGCGAGCACAGGGAAAGAATGACTGGAAGCAGCTTCGCACGGGCTCTTCCAGGCTCCATCCTCCTCCTAATGGAAGTGCTGGCTCCCTGCCCACCATCCTTGCACTGGTCTGAAGCTGCTCACATTGCAAAGAGCAGATGAACAACCCTGGGTAAAAAGGTGGCTTCTCGCTGTACCTGTGGACTCCGACTGCTCCAAATCCCTGGAGTGGCAGCGCTGGAAGCGCTATGGCAGGGATGGTCACAGAGCAGCCCTGCGCAGCTCCGCAGGCGGCTGCAGCCAGAGGCCCTGCAGAGGGAGCTTCAGCCACGGATCTCGGCCGCCGGCACGCGTTTGGCTGGCATAGCCCTAGGAGACATCCCCCTTTGCAGCCTCGCTGCTCTCCTCGGCTCCCAGCCACGCGCTCAGGGCTCTGCTCAGCTTGCAAACAGCTGAATTCTGATCCTTTAATTCTGCATTTTGGGTTATTTCTGTATTAATTTTCAATGCAGAAAGGGTTCTGGTTGTGCACCACCATCTCCCACTATCTAGATGGAGACCCAGGGGGCAGGTGCAGGGCCTCCATCTCCGGAGGTTTTCATCTTCTCCACAGCATCAGTGGGTAGGGGACATCCTTGGGGGCACAGGAGGGAGCCCGAGCAGCAGTGGGTCCCACGCCGGCCTCCAGCCCCAGCTCACCCAGCCACAGGGCAACTCCTCCCGCGCCGCGCTCGGCCGCACGGCCATCAGCGAAGGCTGAGGATGTCCAGCTCACAAGATCCTGGGTGGCGTTGGAGTCTTCCTGCCACTGCTGCTCATACGAGGCCAGAGCGACCCTGCTGATGCCCACGGGCTTTGACCGGGATTCAGACCGGTGAATCCTCCTGAGAGCAAGGCGCTGGACTTCACAAAGTACAAGAGCTGTACTTGAGCCATCGCTGTGTCACAGCAGCACCTGGCGACAGGGCTGCCTGCTGCACGGGACCTTCAGATCTCCTCACTTGGAGAGCAGGGAAGGAAGAGGAAATCCCAGGTGGGAACAAATCCAGGCGATTTAGCTCCATACAAACCTGCACATCTGCCTTTTGGAAAGCACGAGGCAAGCTCAGAAGCAACCAATCCCTTATTTGTCCTTCAATCCAACTTGCTCCCCTCTCGCAAGTCTTTCGATCAAACCCATTTACTCCTTCCTCATTCACCCATCTCTGCTGGCTGCAGAGGGGCTCGCCTCCAAAAAGCCTCTTTCCTCCAGGTCTTGCAGTGAGCAGAGAAACAGCAATTCCCTTTCAAGGCGGACAAGAAGGGAGCACCTGCCCCTCCTTCCAAGTGGGCAGTGCCAAAAGCCACTCAGGTCCCTGCCTCCAGGAGCAGCAGTGCCCAAAGCCCTGCTCCACCTGGGCCAGGTTTCCAAAGGGAGCTTCCCTGCACTAGGCCTCTCTCCAAGGACAAACCAGGGGCGTCCAGCTCCCCAGCCCAGCTTAGGCTGCACCCTGCATCCGTGGCCATGCAGGACCCCGGGCAGGGCTCAGCTGTGCCGCCCAACTGCTCTCAAAGCCACTTGCCGCAAGGAAACTTCTCCAAGCTGCAGTTTGTGCTGTTGACAGCAGACATTATTACAGGCTTGAATGGTCGTGTAACTTCTACCAAATTCCCCTCTCTGCTCAAACTCTCCCAGAAAGCTGTTTCCATTCCTTTCCATTTGCTTCCTATTATTTTGAAGACCAAGTCTGCAACCTTTGTGCTTGGAAGTCCACAAGCAAATATGGTTGAAGCTGGTTGTGCTCCCCTTCTGTGGGCTCCTCGCACACTCACAGCACTTCATGGCTGGATCAGAGTTTGCTGCGAGGTGGCCAGGACCTCTAGGGACCATCAATCCCACAGGACCTCAATCAAACCTTTCTCGTTACCTCCACACTCTCACCTTGCCATCTTCATGATAGACAAAGATGTTCCTTGTGCTATTGTCCTTCAAGTAAGTGATCTGCAGTCCATGCGGGTTCCCTATTTTTGCAGGCTGGAAAGTCGCATTTAAGTGTTCAATCTTCATAATTGCTTTGGGTTCTTTTGCCTGGAAAACATAGTTGAGTGAGCAAACACCTGCAAATCAGCTTTCAAACAAGTAAGCAATTCACTCTGGAGAAAAAAAAAAAAAAAAAATCTTGATTGAGGCCATTAGCTAAAAAATGACCAGCCCCCTAAGCTGCCTGCTGTGAGCGTCACAGAGATTTTTCAGAGCCAGTGACAATTGGTTTCTGTCAGCCTGGGAAACCCTTTTTCCATTTTGGAAATTCAGCAGAGTTGATACAATGTTCAGAAAAGGGAGATCAATTCAAGCCCAGAAGCAGGATGGATGGGCCAGGTTTCATGTCAGGATTTTGTGCTATACACACAGTTATTTCCACAAGCCTCCTCTCCCGGGCTCTTTTCAGCTGTCTCCTGACTCCTATATCTCCTCCAGCCTTTTCTCCTCATGCTAAGTGGCAATATTTACACCTGGGTGAGCCCTATTAAGGTAGAACTAAAAATGTTCAGCCAGACAAAAATAAAGAGGAAAAAAAATAGCAGATTTCAAACTAACAGGTCAGGATACTCTGCATCTCAAGCAGCCACTACCATCTTGTCCTTGCCCTAGAAGGGACAAACATTTCACCTACCAGGCTCAACACCCCAAGCCCATTTCCACACCAGTCCCATCCTCTCACACCAGCTATTGGCCTCTGACTTGGCTCAGCACCTTGCCTCCAGGATGGGTGCCCTCCTGAGAGAGAAAACCACACACACCCTGCAGGGAGGCCGAGCCCACCCAGGAGTCTGGATCAAGCCCTTATGAGCACCAATCCCACCTGCAGCTCCTGAACTTCTACAGTGCACTTTGTCTCCCTATAAAATACTCCCCAAAATTTAGTACCCTTCTCCAACTGCACAGAGAAGTGAATAAAACATGAGCAATAACCATTATGCTCTTGACACCAGTTTTAGGCCACCCTAAGCTCCTTGATTTCTTCCTGAAATTAAGGAGATGACCATCCTCCAATTTACCATCCCGGAGCTTTAATGGGAACAACGTCTTATGTTTTTTTTAAAAGAGACTTAACCAGCTTTATGGTTTGGGGGTCTGACTAGCTTCAAGGCTCTGCTCCTCGCAGCGCTCGGACACTTGCTCTTTCTTGGCCGCAGGAGGCCACGAGTAGCTTGGGGCAGGTCCAAGCGGGAGCTGTCCCAGCAGTGGGCTGGTTATCCCATAAAAGCTGCTGCTGGAAAGCTGCGTTACCCACGGCCCGACACAGCTACGGCTGTCTTCTTGTGTGACTCTTCTCAAGGTTTTGCTGTGATTTGGGTGTACCTGTCACTGTCACCACCAGGAGCCTGACCCACGCTGTGGCACTAGGTCTTGCAGCAAAGATGGTCACGCAGATGGACGTGGCACCCAAGCGCCAAGCAGAAGTCCCTGCCCTACAGAAGATGCAAGAGCCATTTCGGGAACTTGGGGACTTGCCGTGGGATGAAAGCTGCTGTGGGTGAGCAGGGTGGGGAAATCCCAGAAAAGAGGATGTGCCCAGACAGCGCAGTTCCCACTACGGCTCTGGTTAACAGCAGGGTAACACAGCCTCAAAGTGCTCAAGCAGTTAATAGCAACTGGATCGGGGCTGCTGGGACTTCCATTTCTCCCTTGGTAATGACCGGCTCTCCTGCCCACGAGACACAACAGCACCACACGCACAAGGACGGCAGCGCTGTCCATTCAGGCTGGGGGGAATGGGACTGGAGAAGTGCGGTGGTGTAGCCGCCTGGTGTAGCCAAAGACTCCCCAACACAATGCAACAATTGTGCAAAATATCATAGACAACTTGGTGGTGGTTCAGTCTGGGCCACTGTTTTACTGGAGCCTGTGGCTTGTCACAGGAAGCTTCTACAGCTATCGTGGCCCTTGCACAAAATGGTGTCAAACATTATGAGTGGTGGCCTGGAAATGGTTTGTGCCAAGATGCTCGTACACTGCAACGCCCTGAACTCCCACAGCAACGCCAGGAACTCACGTCATTTTTGTTGAAGTATTTCAGCGCCCCTTCCCGCTCCGACAACACGAATTTGCGGCTCAAGAACTGTCCGTTGTCACGTCCTCTCTTCCACAGGAATCCTTCTCGGTATCCTGCAGCAGAAAGGAATTGCTCAGAACCAGGAATCAAATATCATGGTGCTGCTTTTGGTGTCCCTTGGCTGAGGAACGGGCTGGGCCTGGCTCGGAGCCTTCTCCCGTTGGAGCCTCCCAAGGACCTGCTCCATTTCCCTGGACATCATCCCTGCAGAGGGACTTGCTGCTCCTGAAGAACGCCATTTAAAACAAGCGTGCCTTCCTTAAAAACCAGAACAGCCAGAGAAAGGGAAGGAAAAGGAAAGAATCTAAGTGCTATGTTCTGAATACTTCAAATAAGAAGCTACAACTTGTTATATATAATATTAAATAGGCAGTTACAACTTGTTACTGCCGACATCTACAACACACAACAGGCACAACGTGCAAATTATCTTGCAACAAGCTTAACTGATGTTCCTATTTTAATATGCTCCAAAAATAAAGAAACCCCAGGAACTCTCCACTGTAAGATTTGTGATTAGCACAGCAACTCCAGCATTTTCTTCCATTTATTTAAAACATAATTATATATAAGACCCACTGAAAGAGCGTAGCCTTTTCTTTCTGAGTTTCACTCCTTTTAGGCTTTTGTTATACTGGTTCCTGAGAACTAAGATTTAAAAGTTACACATTATAGCTGTGAGATGTTATAAAAGTTAAGTAACTAAACCCTTCTTAAAGCCCAAAGTGGCTCTGGAACCGGCAGGCAGCTGGTCCTTCATGTGCATCTGCAGGTTGCATCAGTGAGGTACAGAAATTCCTCATTCAACCCATTTTCCAGGCAGTCGTCCATCCTCATGCAGGATTTATTTAAATCAAGACAGAAAGACAGACAGAAAGACAGACAGACAGATGTGCAAACCCCCCTCAGTGCTGACTCTGTTGGTATGGGCTGCGTAAAATGTTTCCATGTGAGAAATGTGAGAAAAACCTAAAGCCAAATATAAAAATATAAAAAGCACACACACACATTTAAAAACTTGAAAAGACAAAAGGAGACAGACAAGTGCTGAAGCTGCTAACAAAACCAAAGTTGTCCATCTAGCTAAACATGACTTTTCTGATTGCCCAAGTACCTGCTGCTTCTGCCTGCGGTGACGAAGCCCAACGTTTCCTGCAGATCCTCCAAGAGGCCTTTCCTGGCCGTCAGACAAAGCCACTGGTGTGTGGCATAAATAAAGGCGCTGCTAAAGGCCGTTGCTGACGGTGGATGCTCACTGTGGAGGACACCGTAAATCCGAGGCACGCACGAGGCTGCTGGAACACGGCACTGCTCCCAGCATCCGCGGTACAGATGTAAGCGGTGGGAGGGCTGGAAGCTCTTGGCAGCTTTTCCTTTGCTCTGGTGCTCCGTGTGGGCCACCCGTTGCAGCAGAGCTGCATGTAAAACGTGGGGCCACCCTGCTCTGCCCACGGCGGCTCGTTGGGGCTGGCGACGGCCGCGCAGCCCTGACGCCCTCGTGCCCCGTGACCCTCAAACGCCACCAGACCCCTTAGGGGAGCTCGGGGTGCTCCGTTCCCAACGACTTCACCAAAACTAAGAGCAGGACTTACCAAGTCAGTCAACTAAACGATGAATTCAACCCCACACAAACTCAAGCTACAGTCTTGTTTTATAGTTTTCTTCTGCTGAGAAGACACAACTCACTTGCAGGCGACACTTGCAATATTAGGAAGAAGAGTTCACAGCAAGAAGAATTATCTAGATTACCCCACTCCAAAATTTGAGCGAGGGGAAGCAGCCATTCGAGCAGCCAGCGAAGGCACTAAACCAAACCAAGGGCAGCAGCACCTGAGAAGGGAGTGATGCCCCAGGCCCCTCACCACCTCCACGGGGTGAATTAATGCTCATCCTTGTGGGGATCTGAAGCCCTGGGAGATCCGTGTGGGACAGTGGATCTGAACAGGAGCTTCTCCCCCAGCAGATGGGCTTCACACGAAGCTCAGAGAGGCTTGGTGACCTGCCCAGGACAAACTCATGCACCAGTGTCAAAGTCAAACTGGGAACCTCAGTTTCCCTGCCCTCCCATATAGGGACATTTTTATCCTTTTCACCTCTTCTTTCCAACTCTTTGTGGCAAAACACAGTATGTGAATTCCATTCCCCGTGAGAAATAGAAGACAAAACCCTAAGGGCTACCCCTTTCCTTAGTCCACACGCCACCTCCCTTTAGAAGGATCGTCTCTGCAAAAGAGCTCCTGGCTGCTCTGACAAAGCCAGCTGCTAACTTTGCCATTCTCAGCTGCAGATCTTCATAAACCTTTTGCTTCTTTCTTTTCTTTCTTCCTTCCTTCAGGGCTGTGTGCTCAGGAGCTGCCCTGCCCAAGTCTGCTGTCTGCACCCCTGTCAACATTGCTAAGTGCGAGACGTGATGGATTGGACTTGAACTACACATGAACTCACCCAGGTTCCCCAGGCAAAGAGCTTGTCGGCAAGACATGTCCTCAATGTCTGGACCTGAAAAACTTGAAAATAGCTATAGAAGGGTAGCAGAGATGATGCCCAGTGTCCACCTAAACCAGCTCTCCTCATCCCTGAGAGACTTTTGCCCAAATTCAGACCTCGCCTTGACGAGGGCTGCTCTGCTTCAAGGTACCCAGCTCAGCCCTGTCCATCCATCACCTTCCCCTTCCCAAAGGGCAGGGTCTGACCACGAGCACCCACCCGATGAAGAGCTGCGGGTCCCGACCCTTGGGCTCTCTTTAAAGAAACTATTCTTGGGTTAAGGCGATGGCCCCTCAGGCACTGAGTTTTCTGCAGCCCTTAAGCTGTCAGCCAAGAAGAAAAATTGATGGTAGCTCTGGCACAAATCTGTGACGTTTATAAAAACGCACTGCGCACTTGTGACAAAGTTAGGTAATAATAGGCACCTAGTATCAAGTGAAACCACCCAGCCAGAACGGGTATTTTTGAGCCAATACATAGTTTCCAAGGTCAAACGGCAGCTAAAATTCTACTGGGGAAAGAAAACAAGGTCACTAAACTGCTTCACCAAAAGGAAACCATGAGAGGGCCCTGGGTCAGCTCAGGACTGTTGTGTCTGAACCCCAGGTAGGGACTTCTGAAGGAAAAAGGGGTTTTCCTCCTGTTGTGCCTGACTTCTCCGCTCTGCACCAGCAGGAGCCACAAGGAAGCAGTGGGAAGGATGGTCTGGCCAGGGCAGACACCCTCTTCCCATCCGACTTCCCCAGCGCTTTGCTCAGGTTCCCTCTTTAAAGCCTGGGGCTCTGCTCCTTCCCCACCTCCAAAAGCCACTACACTGTTTTAAGTTAATGATTTTTTTTCCTCTCTGAGAATTTGGAACTAATATTTTGCCTCAAGGTTTTGTTCCTAGAGAGAAAAAGTTGTCAGAGAGGGACAATCGGATTCAGCGGCTTGAAGAAACATTTATGCACAGACTTATCCTTCTGCCATCTCCAGGAAAACATTATAAACCTGGGATTAAACCACATCTGCTCAGTCCCTTTGGCACATTTGTTCTGCAAGTTCATCTGCAAACAGGTATCAGAACTGCTTGTTCCTACGAAGTTCCAACCTCAGCAGTAAAACCAGGCCTGGTGCAAGGCTTTCAGGAGCAGGATATTAATGCACTCAAAGGAGAGCATAGCACAAAGCCATAGAACGCTCTGATTCTTTCCTTCTGGTCTCACTGCAAGACAACACATTGAAGGCTGAAAAAAAGAGGAAAAAAAGAATGTATTGGTACATGTAATCACATATTTATGGAGTTTGGGCTGGACACCTCCACCTACAGAAACAGATTTGCTTTCCTCTGAGCAGTCAGGCAAAGTGCTGTGACCCCAATTCACAGCTTTGGAGATGAACAGGAAGATTTAAATGCAACTACATCACTTCACTGCTAAAATAACAGAGGATATATTGCCGCTTCTGCTGTGTGTCAGAAGCCTTGCAGTCTGCTAATATTATCATAAGATGTTAATTAAACTAGAGCAGTAGGTAGGTGCTGACTGCAGATGATGTGTCTGCTTTTTCTGCGAGATTGAGGAATTGCATAATTATTTGAGGCAGTTGACTGGAGGATCCCTGACATATCAGACTACAAGTGACACCAAATGTCGCATCCTCCTTCTAGCGGAGAGAGACTGCAGAATAATTCCTTCAGGAAAAGCCATGCTGCCCAAAAAGCAGTTAGCTGGACCAAGAAGAAGGCACACACTAAGTGTTGACGGCATTGCAAAAAGCTGTAAACTTCCTGTCCTGCTGCATCAGTTTAAATCATTTAATTTCTGTACGTTGTAAATATAACTTCTTTCCACAGTACTGGGCCACCAAAAAACCAAAATACTTCAGTGGCTTCAATTTGATTTTAAGTGTTTGCATTCCAATCAAAAATTAAAACATTTAATGAAAAAATCTTCTTATCAAGGGAGAATGCCACTGTTTGTCCAGACACAAGAAACAGAGACCGAGGGAGCGAGGCTCATGGAGGCCGGTGAGCCAGCTGAGAGCCTGCAGGGTCAGCTGGACCACGGCTCTACTGCACAATACCATCGACGTTGTCTTCCCTGGCTCGTAACGTCCTTGCAAATACTGTACAGTCACCCCTGAGTAAATACACACACCGTTTACTCCTCAGGGCAAGTATTGTGTCTATCTGCATCCCAGTGCACTGGAGATGTCAGCGTTCAGAAGGAAGGAAGGAAGGAAGCAGAAGGAAGAGGAGACCTCAAGAGCTTTGCTAGTGGGACACGAATCTTGTCCTGCTAACCAAGCTGCAAGTCCAGGTGAGAAGTAACCAGGAACTGCTACTGCCCGAGTGCAGTTCAGTGCTTTGTGAACTAAATTCTCAGCATGGCACCAATGAGCAAGTGCTGGGTGATCCTGCAGCCAGCTGGTGTCTTTGGATGCCAGCTGGGGATGCACCGGAGTGCCTGCTAGAGCAGGACACCTCCGGACACCTCCGTTTCTCTGGCTGCCACCCCAGGCAGGCTCTTCAGCCCCTCACATCATTCCCGGCTCAGCTAACGTGTCCCGGGGCTGCCCACATGCCCAT